CTCGAACCTTAATAAAGACGTGCTCCAACGAGCTTGGCGACGATTTAATATGCATGCTGACATAAAATATTTGAGGTTCTTGTGATCCGTATACACGATGATTAGATTGAAAGCGCCTTCTAGATAATGATGCCATTCTTGAAAAGAATCCACAATTGCAAGAAGTTCTTTGTCGTGGATCTCATAATTGATTTCTGCTGCTGAGAATTTTCTTGAATGAAAGGCTATTGGATGAAGTTTGTCATCTGTTCCCATTTGTGATAAAACCGCACCCATGGCAAAGTTTGATGCATCTGTTTCCATAAAGAATGCTTTGGAAAAATCAACACTATACAAGATTGGTGTAGAAACAAATGTTGTCTTCAAAGATTCAAAAGCAACTTCCACTTCTTGATTCCATTGGAGTTTGTCTTTACAAGTCAAACGTGTAAGTGGAGCTGCAACTGAAGAAAAGTCTTTGATTAAGATCCGATAGTAGTTGACAAATCCCAAAAAGCATTGGACATCTCTTACCGTTTTTGGGATCTTCCAATCTATAATAGTTTAAACTTTCTTAGGATCCATCATAAGTCCATCATTTGAAATGATATAACCTAAGAAATCAACTTGAGTAGTGTAGAATGTACACTTTTCTATCTTGGCATAGAGTCCCGCATCTCTTAATTTTTGTAACACATGATGAACATGAAGTTCATGTTCTTCTGGATTCTTAGAATAGATCAAGATGTCGTCTAGATAACAGACCACAAAATTGTCCAAAAAACTCTCAAAAAACATCATTCTTTAGATGTTGAAAAGCTGCCGATTGTCACGGACATAATCATGTAAGCTAGTAATTACATATACAAATAGGTAGAAGTAAGTAAAAGTAAGTAATAGTAAGTTAATTCTATAGTATTTAATATGAAAGCTTCTTAGAAGCTTCATAGATGCTACTTTGACTTCATAGGTGTCTTTAATTGATTTTATGGATTAAAAACGTGGTCAACAAGTTGGCCATGTACCACACATGTTGTTAGCTTGAAGATCAAGCTAACTATGTGGCCCACACGTAGAAAAACTTGCCTTATAAGTCAAGGCATGTGTTCTACAAAGTCAACACATATTGGAAGTCTTATAGAACGTCGCCACGTAGCCCCTAATTAGATATTATATATAGAGACAAGAATGAAGGCTTCTTCACTCTTGTCAACTCTTTTCTTGCTTCTAGTCTAGTTTCAAGGGTCTCTAGTTTTCTTGTCTTTTGGCAATAGCCATTCTAGTTTCTCTTTCAATATATATCCTTGTTTATATATTTTTTGTTACCTCTCTTTGAGTGAAGGCTCACTTGTCTGAATTGTTTTTTCATCGAGTTCTTGTCCTTGAGACTGGTGCATTTGTAAGTCCAAAAGGCATGACGTTGTATTCAAAATGTTCATACCTAGTTCAAAATGTAGTCTTTCATTTATCTCCTTCTTTGATGCGTACTAAATTGTATGCTCCCCGGAGATCTATTTTTGTATAGATCTTAGCTTGATTCAACTTATCAATAAGTCTAGATATTAAAGGTAGTGGACACCCGTTCTTGATGGTAATCTTATTGAGTCCTTGATAATCAACACACATCTATAATGATCCATCTTTTTTCTTCACAAATAGAATTGGAGCTCCTGTCAGAGATTTAGAATGGCGTATGAAATTCTTGGCAAGATTTTCTTCAATATACTCCTTGAGTTCAGTCAACTCATTTTGCAAAAAATTGTAGATTGGTCTGAATGGCAGTTGTGCTCTTTCTTGAAGATCAATTGAGCAATCATAAGGACGATGTTCCGAGAGTGTATCCGCATTCTTTTTTTCAATTACATCTTGAAATTCTTGATATTGGCTTCAAATGCCACATGAAGTCTTTGCACCATTAGAAACGGGTGTGGCATAAATAATATATGGTAATTCTTTCATAGCAGCATACAAGAAAGCTTTTGCACCTATAAATACAGGTTAAATTGAACTGGACTTATCACTCTCTACTTGATTAACTACACTCTTAGTTATACTTTTAGAGAAAGTAATAGTTTGGGAAATCCAATCTATTTGAGGGTTGTATTTTTCTAACCACGATAAACCTAAAATGACTAGATTAGAGAAAGATCTAATGATATTAAATACTACAAAGCTATTATGACCATTGATTATTACTTCTATAGAAAGGATTTTGTGAGTAATATCTCCAGAAGACAGTGGACGACCATCTATGACTTTTACATAAACAGATTTAGTTTTCTTTACTAAAGATATACTATGTCTTTTAGTAAATTCTTCATCTAAGAAATACGCTTAGGCTCTTGAATCTAGCAAGGCACAGGCTTTGTAATATTTAGATTGTAAAATAACATTTACTATAAAATAAGGAGAGGGTTCTGAGGAGAGAATAGGACCTTTATCAGATGTTGTACAAGGTTTCAGCCGCACGGTCCCTATTGTAGCTAGACAAACTCATTTTCTGACATATTATCTTCTTTGATAACCATACTCCTTATTTTGTGGTTGCGTCGTTTCTTTGGATAATGTTGAGCAGTGTATTTTGGTTCTCCATAATATAAACATAATCCTTCTTGACGACGACAAGTCTTTTCTTGTTCAGTAAGAAGTTTGAAACATATTACATCGATTTGCATATCTTTTATTTGTGAAGATATGTGTTGAGAAGACGTAGGTGTTGCCATTGAATTGTAATAATATTGAGCCTTACTTATGTGACTCTTAGATCAAAATTCAAAAAGTCGATTGTCACATTTTACATCAAAATCAATTGCTTGACTCAATATTTGAGGATCGAGTAAATTGAGCATCAATTTTTTTACCTCATATTGTAGTCCATAAAGGAATTGGCTAATGAGTGCAACATCATTCCACTTAGTATCAATCGCAAGTTATCAAAATTATGAAGCATATGTTGTTACTGATTGATTTCCTTGTTGTAAGATACGGATCTTATTTGTTGCAACACGAACTGTATCATGTTCTCCATACATAGATCAAAATTCTACCAAGAAAGTTGCTAAATTATCCAATATTGGATCTTGTCGTTCAAAAAAAGATGAAAACCATGATAATACAAAATCGAAAAGTAGTGTTCCAATAAACCTGACTTGTGATCTTGGAATTGGATACCTTTGGGGTTGAAGTTTAATTGTCAATTATACTTGATTCATGAATCCTCGAAATTTTGATCTCGTACCATCAAATTTCTTGGATAAGACAATTTTTGGTTCTCTAGTATTTGAATGGTGTTCCACCATTGGAGAAGGGGCATGATTCGATGTAGATGTTGAGGCAGCTCTGACCATCTCTACATCTCCACTTTCTGTTATTCTTGTTCCTCCTTTTGTTGGTGAATTAAGTTGATGCATCACAAACATTAATTGTCTCAGTTGTTCTTGCATTTGTGTCATTGCACTCTTTAATTCGACAAGCTCAGCTAGGGTAACACCTAGAAAAAAAAATGTCTAATATTATTGAAGACAAGTAAGAGAACGAACTTAAAAACAAAGAAAATACTAAAAATAATATCATTTTAAAAGAGGGTCATTCGCAACTCTTAATACGCTTATGTCTTATCAAAAAAAAATATTAATCCACTTTTAATCAAGAAAAGACAAAGCTTTGATATTGTAAGTATACTCTTGTCAATTTGTTAAGGACAAGAACTCGATAAAAAAGTAATTCAGACAAGTGAGCCTTCACTCAAAGAAAGGTAACAAAATATAAATAAACAAGTATGTATATTGAAAGAAAAACTGAAATGGCTATTGCCAAAGACTAGAAAACATGAAGACTCTTGAAACTAGACTAGAAACAAGAAAGGAGTTGACAAGAGTGAAGAAGGCTTCACTCTTGTCTCTATATATACTATCTAACTAGGGGCTAAGTGGCGACATTCTATAGGACCTCCAATATGTGTTGACTTTGTAGGACACATGCCTTGTCTTATAAGGCAAGTTTTTCTACGTGAGGGCCATATAGTTAGCTTGATCTTCAAACTAACAACATGTGTGGCACATGGCCAACTTGTTGACCACGTTTCTAATCCAAATGTCAATTAAAGGCACCTATAAAATCAAAGCACCGTCTATGAAGCTTCTAAGAAGCTTCTATACCAAATATTATAGAATTAACTTACTTTTATCTACTTTTACTTACTTCTACCTATTTATATATGTAATTACTAGCTTACATGAGTATGTCCGTGACAGATAGGCAATTATAAGATAGGCAAATAAATATAAAAAATCTAAAGAAATAATATTTGTTCTTTATATTTGCCTATTTTATATAAGTGTATTATTGGGATCTTGGTCTAAATTACAAAGAACATAATTTGAAATAAATGGTAGTTCCTATAATGTATGACCACCTCTAATATGCATCATAATTATATTTAAGAGTATAATATCAAAAAAGAAATAATAGAGAAATTAACTCTAATTATTATCTTAAATCAAATCCATAATTAATTCACAAATTTTTTTTATTAAATTTAATCTAAGTGATGTTAAGTCATTACTAAAATCTTAACTTTTGACAATATATTATCCATTTTTTGGCTTAAAATTCTTGCATTAACATGTCTTTAAACATATTTTGATATTAACAAAGAATACTTTGTATTTTGATAGTATATTTATTTTTATGGCATATATATATATATATATATATATATATTTATTTATTTTATAATGTAAACTGATTTTAAAAAAATGCAACAACCTTCAAAATATACTACATAACTTTTAAAATATATAATAAGTATTCTAGATTGAATGATTTTGATAAATTTTATAAAATAAATAGAATAAATTTTAAAACTTTAAATTCAAGGATTACCATCTACAAAATTGTCATGTAAACACTTGAAAATTTGCAACATTTGAAATTTCAAGAGATTCTATATTAAAAAAGCTCAACATCTACATTGTTGAGTAAAATTAAGTAAGATGTGACATCTTAGAATTTCATCAATAAATTACAAAAGAATGGGTTTTTATTTAATTTTTAGATATTTCAATGTTTATTACAAATTTTGCGGATGGCCTAGGACTCTGTTGTTGTGGTGGTGTTAACGTGAGTGCATGAGGTCGAGACATTTGGTGGAAAATGTGATGGAAGGTGCAGATACGTAGGTGAGCAGGGTCCTGGGGATGGAACTGGCACACAACAACTGCTGGATGTATGGAGACCACAGCAAGAGGAAAGACAGACGGATAAATAGTGTATAAAGAATACATAGATCTGTAAATTTACACAGAGAAAGCAGGAGTTGCTGCAAATGTTGCGTCGTAGTTTCTTAAGTAGGCCTGGATCCCGGGGTCGAATTAGTAGGACCCCGCAGCTTGCCTGTGACACCACACAGGTCGATGGAGTACTGCGCCAGTTTGCTCTGCACTCCGCCAAGTCGAATGCACCGCCCGCACAGCAGAAACTGCACGTTGCTGTTCAGGGTCTTCCTCACCAAAAACTCCCCCACCTCACCGCATGCTCGGCACGCATGCCTGTAGTACAAAGACCTCCACTGGATGATGACAATATCGCCGTGCCCATGCGATGACAACAACTGGGTGAGTTCGGTTCCCCACTCTGCCCTCCACTCTCAACACAGAGTGCGAGTCTCTTATCTCACAGGCAACCACTCAGTGAAGTTTTGGCTCACCCAATTGACAACAACAACAACAATAACATGATAGAGATGCTGCTGATGATGATGATATTGGGACTAGCGAGAGAGGGAGAGAAATCAAATCATACTGGAAATGCTGGGGTGGCACCACGAGGAAGACGAGGTAACGACCATCCATGTCGCTGACATTGCAATCTTAAGGCTGGTTCGCAAAGACTTGCCCATGACCTACACACCTGCAAGACAAAGATGGCATGAAACTTCAAAGTGCATTAGCATGTATTGGAGTCCTTGACGACTCGTTTAGAATTGCAAGGCTGAACGTCGAAAAATCTTAGTCGAATGTTGTAGTAGTATTGGTAAACTTGATCACATAGATTGAGCAACATACTCGTGAAGCTTTGAGAAGATTTGCAGGTGGCAACTTCTCCAGAATACTATGCAGCAAGTCGTCTTGCCCAAGGTCAGTTAGGCGCTGTAGGACAGGGCGGCTTGCAGGATCACGGAATTTTTCACTGGAGGAGTTAACAGCGTCAACTACAAGACCTGCCACAGGAAATTGACTGAGGTAAATAACCTTATCGGCGCCAAGTGTCATGGATGGTGGTGGGAGAAGACAACAAAAAGGAAATTCATGTTTATGGAACTGGATTAACAACAATTTAGTGTACCCTTACACCCAGAATCAGAGTCCACCCTAAGTCCTGTCCTCCTTTCATGAAGAGGCATTTTCAAATTATGGCAGCCTCCCAACCAAGGAGCTCCTAAATATAACCAGCATACGCGTTTCTTCTTCCTTTTGAATTGTGAGCCTTTGCGCCTGCGCTTGTGAGCTCTTCCTGCTCGACAACCTATTAGTGAGGCTGCGTGCTTTTCAATCAAACGGGCGCTCTTCCTGCTGTGCGGAGTTGGTTGACAGCAGCCACTGCAAGGCTTGATTTTCTTATCACCGTCCTTCAGATCTTGTTGTTCTGGTATTTATTTCAGAGACTGAAAATGTATCACAAGTTCATGCTGGATTTACATATGATGCTCATGGACGATGCTACATCTTCCACGGGTTTCCATACCTGAGATTCGCATTGGAAATTTTTTTATCTGAAACGGCGGAGTATGGAAACAGAAGTGAGAGCAGGAATTGCTCACCTGAAAGATACAGTGATTTCACCGAAACCAAGAGCGATCGCTTTCCCCCTCTCAACCTTGGTCGAAGCCAATACTGCGGCCCTACTCGATGACGACCTGGTAACAAAGCCACTCGTTTTTCGAAGAGGCGTGTGCTTTTGCGTATGGTAGGTGCAGTCGAAGAACCAGATAGGGAATATTGGTTGGTTGAAGTGGTGGTAGGTATGGCAGCAGCGGATGTACCCTCCTCCTTCTTTGCTGACGATCTTGCAAGGCTGCCGTTAAAAATATTTTGAATATGATCCACAAACACTAAGTTTTCTCCACCGTTCTTTCTGGCACTCCTCGATCTCAACCAGTACTTGGAAGCATCGCCACTCAGTCTTGGTTGGACCATCTTATTTCTTTACCAAGTCCAACAGGCGTGACATATATGGATCATTTCAGGCTTTCAACCTTCACAAAAACCACTTAGAAAGGCGACAAGCTAACAATAGTTCAGTGTTTTGTTCTTAACCGTGCATTCACATGAAACCATGCGAACCAGACTTCCTTGACACAAAGCAGCAATACAACAATATGGTGGAATAAGAGACGAAATTGTGATCCTGGAGTGTAATAATTTAGGAAGGTATAATTTTATTACTGTCAATCCGGTTTCGAGCCGATTAACAAACATGCATCAGAAATTTTAATTGTGCGAGTATTGTGTGTGCAAGGGTCTTGCGAAGCTCTGCGAAATTGTTATCATTCTTGTCCACACCTGGCAAACTTCGTTCGGAATGAAAAAAACGAAAATATGACGGTCACAATGATATCATGGATCGATTCATAGTTAACAATTTCATTCAGTTACTTTCTAAAAAATTCTTGTAAGCACACACGAATCGTGACACAATTGAACTATTGGCATTTCTTGGAGGATAAAAGAAGCTGCTGAGATTATGAACAACAATTTAGTTGCAGCAGATTCTCAGGTTCATTTATAAACTTACTCTGTGCATTAAGACAAATAGTATATCCAGCTGATCTGCAATAGAATCCTTTGGAAGGTTTACTGTGCGATAGAATTTCTCAATATACAGTTGAACACGTTGATATCAATGAATTGTTTGAAAAGAAATTTCCAACCATGCGTCGGATAATGCATGTTTGCATATCTGGCGGTACAAGACTTGATCCGACCTATTATCTCAAAGGATTAATGAAAATGCCCCAGGTATGCAGAATGTAATTGATCTGAAAGTTCCACATGGGATACATCGAAACAGAATCGGGACAGAACGCTGCAAAATATTGGAAAAATAAGCCTAGAGCCTATTCTGTATTCTTGAAAAACTCGACGTTGTGAAACCATCGCTCAATCTAAAGCTTAGTAAACCTTAAACGAGAATGTCTGGTAAAGATGAATGCTAAGTCCCTGTGTGTGCATATGGCTCACCGATTAGGCAAATATTTGATCATCCATGAGTGTAAAGTAGTGTTGCAACAGAAAAGACGGACTCAATTTTTTGGTCTCTTTATCTCCGGTAACCGTCACCGCGCTCATTCCCCGATGCAAACTATGTTGGATGAAACCTCCCAAGGGTATAAGAAAGCCGGCACATACACAGGGATATTGGTTCGTGACTCTAGAATTAGAGGATGCCACATTCCGATCAGAGTGCAGTATCGCTTCGTGAACCGGTGCACATGTGCAAATACTTTAATACCAGTATTGTTCACATCGTCGACACCGTAAACCCGATCACGTCACCTAGCGTCAGTCCCTTCCAGTAGTCTATATCAACCACTTCAACCTTCGCTGATCCACTCTCCTACTGGAGCCACAACATTCAACGCCTTGAGTCCACCAGCCAACTCCCAACCGATTTTGACGTTGAAAAGAAGAGCAAGGGAATTGATGAACACGGGCGGTGGTGTGAAGTCGGTGATAGATATACGGTGAGGCATGATCGGAGTTGTGACTGCAGCAGCAACGGCGAGATCGTTCCGTCCACAGGACTTCGATTCCACGTGTGTGCAGATGTGGGTCCTACATCCGCTGCCACGCCCAGTTACATTCTTCTATTCTCGAGAGCTTTGCGCCGTCGATCTGTGTTGAATAATCGAAGGTCCATTCGAGCCCTGGTTTGGGCTGGGGATGCAGTCTTCATTTGGAACTGTGGGGAGAGAATAACCAACAACCTGTGGGGGGGAGTTATCCTGGATTTGATGCATCTCATGATCATAAGTTAGTTATCTTCTTTATTGTTTGAATTTAAAAGAAAATTATGGGTGTCTCTATCTCTATATATATGTGTATATATATATGTTAAATTTGTAAAAAGAAAATGTGATACTGCACTCTGATCGGAGTAAATATAGATAATTAAATTGAGGTTTTATGTTTTTATTAGAAAAAACATTTTAACGAATATCTACTTTTTTATCATAAAAATCTCTAAAAGTTTGAACCTTCAATTAAAATACAATATTATTGTATTCAATGTACAGAATTGTTATAATAGAATTCTGTACATACATTGTGTACATAAATTCTATTATAACAATTCTATGTACAGAATTTATGTACACAACTTGCAACAATGTCTCTACAAACATTCAAATATGCACAGATTTGGTATATCATAATACTTTTAAATTTTAAAAATTATTTTTTATTATTTTTTATACTTTCAAAATTAATGAACATTACTTCTAAAAGATTCATACTTCAAATTTGGATTCTTATATTAAATGATGCAAAACAATATTATTTATCTTGCATTTGGATGCTCACCTAGAATGATGATAGAAACATTGTTTAAGAACATAATTGTAAATAATTATATTTAATTACATAAATACAAAAGTGCTATTTAAGCAAAACATACACAATCCAGTGCCTAAAAATATTCAAAATAAAATTTTATTTAACTCTTAGATTTTTTTATTTGAAACAATTTAAGGTAATTTCAGTCACATACCTTAAATACTAATAATATATTGGCAAGCATAAGCTGTATCTAAATATGTAGTTCCAACTATTGCTACGATTTAATTTGTTAATAAATTTGGTTGGGATATATTCTAGTGACAATTGTAATCTTGCTAATTATAATTTTTAGGTACCAAAAATTATCTCAATATATAATCTATGATTTTAGCGTAATTATCATTTTTTTAATCTTTTGTTATAACTTCAATGTCAATTTTTTTTAATTGTATAAAAAAATTAGCTTTAAAATTATGATTATGATCATTGGAAATAATATTCAGTATGAAAATATTATAACTTTAAATTATTTGATGTTTCGTAAGACAATTAACTTCTAAGGCTATAGAATTAATAGCAATTTTATGAATTTAAAATATGAGCAATTATATATATATATATATATATATATACACACACACACATGTTTATTTAGAAGAATATTAAAGAAACCCACCTACATTTTCAATTGACTCAGAACCTTTTGCAAGGCTTTTCTTTTTTGAAATGAAGGTATATATTAAGCCCAGTATAATGCACATTATGAAACATTTGCAAAAACGGTCTCAGAAGTCTTAGGTGATGAATTCCACTATAGTAATAAGCAATCAACAATCTCATGAATGAACGTTCTTAGCAGTTTTTGTGAGCTTGAGAAGTGTTTAGGTTGGAATTGAAGGTTTCAACTACCAAACTTGCAGCCAGACAAGAGAGGACCAACGTGAGCAATCAAAATTTGCTTTGTGACTCTTCCATTGCAAAATTTGTAGTTCATAGAGATGATCCAAAAGTAATTGTTTCAATCCAAGCCCGTATTCCAAAGAATTAATAGCTTAAGATAAGTTTTGTGTTAATTTAAGATGTAGGTGGGTTGATTTAATATTTTCTATACGGAGGTAACTTTAAATTTAATTTTTTAAAAAAATACCAATTTTTTAGTAAAGAATAATAGTCAATATAGAGAGTAATACTCATGATAAAAATAATTTGTTTTACATGTTTTCTACAAATACTTTTGTTTTTTGTTCCAATTTCATAAATAGGAAAATATTAATAAATGTAAATTAATTCAAATAATTCTTACATTATCAATAAGTTGTAAAGTATTTCTTTAATTAAATATTTGAGTGATTCTCTTATTACTTATAACTTATAATCATTTACTGAAACAAATGTTACATTACAACTTTGTAAGATCAAATGAATTGCTACATAATTTGATTGATAAACCAGAAAAAATGAATTTCTAGGAAATATTTTATACAGAAGAAGTGAAATAGATACTTCAGTATATTACATAGATTACTATATAAAACATTTCCACATGTAATAGTATAGAGGAATGAACATAAATGTTCTGCAATTCTGTTTTTACCACTTAAGCTTAAGAAAACCCAGGCTCCAAATTCAAAAATTCAATACAAATATATATGTTTTTAATAATTCAAGTATTCATTTGAATCAAATCATATTGTGAAAATTTGTTAACTAATAAATTTATTTTAACATTTGTCTAGACTCAAAAATCTAGGTGTCTAAGACGTTCACTACATTTCAGTTTAAATTGGAAAAAATTAAAACAATCAACACACATAACCAGTTTTTGACAATCCTACCAAGTCAAGAGTTGATTATTGTGAGATTTTCCACTCCTTATTTCAATATATCCAATGATGTATCGATCAGAAATATAAATTCTTCTACGCTATTAAGTTGATAAAGCAGTGACGTGGACAAGACTTGGAGAAACAGTGCTGACTCAGCTGAATTGGAAAGGGTCAAGGAGGCTCCAGAGCCAATACGTGGGCAGCTGACGTGGAATTGGAGGGCGGCGTCAGAGAGGGGTGCGGCGAGGGAGGGGTGTATTGTTGTTGGTGCTGTTGTTGCGTTTCGTGCATGCGGGAGCATGAGTTTGGGGGATCAACCTCGCCTTCCCCATAGTTCAGCTCCCTCTGCAACTGCTCCATGAGGAGCTCCATGTTGTCGATGCGGTGCTCCAGCTTGCTCATGCCCAGCTCGATGGTGTCCAAGTTGTGCTCAAACTTCCCCATGCGCACTTGCAGGCATTTCAGTGCACCGAAGATGGTGGAGAAATCATCAGGGTTGAAGCTGTCATCACACACTGGGAATGACAGGCGCAGGTCGCGCAGTAGTATAGCATAGCGCATTGGAATGGAAATTGTGTGAGGAGCTGGAAATTCCCCAATGCCCATTGCTGCAGAGCGGGCTTCTCAAGGCCTAAGATTCCGTAATGGTTGTGGTGGTCAGCACCTGATGTAGACGTGAGTGCATTAGATGGAGACGTTTCGTGGCAACCGTGGAAGTTGAAGCTTCGTAGCTTCTTAAGTAGGCCTGGATCCCGGGGTCGAATTAGTAGGACCCCGCAGCTTGCCTGTGACACCACACAGGTCGATGGAGTACTGCGCCAGTTTGCTCTGCACTCCGCCAAGTCGAATGCACCGCCCGCACAGCAGAAACTGCACGTTGCTGTTCAGGGTCTTCCTCACCAAAAACTCCCCCACCTCACCGCATGCTCGGCACGCATGCCTGTAGTACAAAGACCTCCACTGGATGATGACAATATCGCCGTGCCCATGCGATGACAACAACTGGGTGAGTTCGGTTCCCCACTCTGCCCTCCACTCTCAACACAGAGTGCGAGTCTCTTATCTCACAGGCAACCACTCAGTGAAGTTTTGGCTCACCCAATTGACAACAACAACAACAATAACATGATAGAGATGCTGCTGATGATGATGATATTGGGACTAGCGAGAGAGGGAGAGAAATCAAATCATACTGGAAATGCTGGACTGCACCGGGAGGATGGCGGAGATGTGTGAGGTTTGAGGGGCGTGGTTGGAAGCTGAGCGATGACGGAATCGTTAACGAATTGGCTGGATTGATCATAACGGCATAACAGAACCCCGCCTGCCTGCCTGCCTGACTGCGTGAGTCCGTGCGTGCCCACATGGCAGGTTCCCCTGTGTACCTGAACCCTATCCCCGAACTCTTTCATGCTCTGTCCACTTCAGACGTGATACTTTGTGGCGCAGAGCAAAAAGTGAGAATCCGAGATTGTAATGAGGATGGATAGAAACGGAGAATCTCAAAACCCTAGTAATGACTACACATGCATATCACGAAGGGAAGTTCAATTCGAGATTAGTCATGATCCATTTAATTTAAAAAGGTTCATTATCGACCCTGTTTTGTAGCTGGTGTAGTTATTGATCGAGGTTCATAATTCCGTTCCTCACTGTGATTTTCCAGGATCGGGATCTGCTGGATTTCCTTCTCTTTTTAGAAAAAAAACACTTAAGTTTCAGCGGAGGCAAATTTCTCAGAATCTTGGAGAGTTCCTGCAGCTTACAACTGGACCCTCTTCTGAAATCGTGGAAGTAATTTCTCTGGATTTGTTTACATGGGGGTTTCCAATGCCGCCGTTGTTGAATCCTTCCATTAAGATTCCTCGTTTAAATCCAGGTCTGCAGTGCATAACTTATAACCATGTTACCCAGTTCAGCGGAAAGAATTGGAGGATGGTTGAAGATATCTGTGGCTTTGAATTAGTGGTTTTGCAAGACTAATTCTTTTTCAAGGACTTGGAGAACTGGGGATGTGCTCTTTGGATCAACTTGTGGGCAAGAAGGGTTGTTCTGCCCATAATTTAGTCTCATGTCTCACAGTTTTTTGCTATTTCAACTCCTTTTCTTTTATTTTTTGAAAATTTGAAAATTCTTTAAAATCAGGTCCTGGTGTCAAGTATGTCTGCACTTTTGCCTGGTCAACATCATCCCATATTGAGTTCCAGGCACAACTTTGTTCACTTTCTACTTTTCACTTTTTTTCCATTTGATAGTGAAGGAAAAACAAGGGTTAGCAAACATGATAGCAAGCCTAACAATATGTAGAGGTTTAAATTGCAAATTAACAAAATAAAAGTTAAAAAATCCAATTTACATAAGAAGATTGAGTTAGTTTGTGGAAAATAAGTTGAAAAATAATAGAAATGGCTTCAAATGTGTTGTCATTGTTTTTTAAACTAAGTTAAAAACTTTAAAAGTAACATGATATAAAGGGGTTCTTAGATCTAGAATTTAACTCGAACAGATCATGATTTGAAAGCCTTATATGAAATTTGAAAGCCATATATTTGGTAAAACAACGATGTCTTTGTGAAGCCTTGGCTATTGTAATTAGTATAATGTAATCAGAAGCATTAATAAACTCATTGTTTTCTTAAAAATGAAATAACTGGTATCTTGATTTTTACTAATTATGATGCATATATATATAAATATATATATATACACGTACATACATATACATACACACCCAAAAAAAAATGCTTTTATTATAGATGCTTTTAGCAATGTTTGATACAATTCTTCAAATTCTTTTTAAAACACCTTTTAAGGTGGGCCTAACCCTAAATTCCGGGACGCAATACTATTCATGCCATATGAGAAAAAGTGCATTCTACATCATATTTTCCTCTCATAATTTCTTACTTGATTTCCTATATATAAATATAAAGCCAATAGACAGAAGCTTTTCAACTTCAGTTAAATACAATTTTGAAAAGTTGTTGCTTCTTGCCTTCTCTAAATCTAAGACCTCCTAATATCCTTGAGATGAACAATAATGAATACTATTTTTTTATGCTAATTACTTTATAAATAATTATGTATATATGTGCATATCTGTATATATATATATATATATATATATATATATATATAGATATAATTAAACGTCAACAAGTTGACTATTGATATAAAATATTATAATCCTTTTTAGTGGTTAAATTAGAAAAATAATTCAAATGAGAATTTGATGAAACTTTATCAAACACAATCTTATATTCTTTGTGTGATTGTAAAGAGAATTATTGTGTGAGAAATGATAAAAATAAAAAATAAATCTAAGTGAATAATCAAATACACTGAGAAGAAATGCTGGATGGAATTCAATGAATTTGGTCGTGCAACGTGTATTTGTATGCATCATGGGACATATTTGGCAACTCCAGTAAGGAAGGGTGCAAAACAGAACTGTGAGTATAAAAGAATGAATCAAACTTGCAGAGGTATTGCTGGACAGCAGTTTCAAATTTGAAATGATGAGAAGCTCCAAAGTCGCGAGGGAACGAGGGAACCTGATAGGGAACAGGGGAACCAAAGAGGGAACGACGCAGAGAGGGACGGAGGGTGGTGAGGGAGAGGGACACATACCCGTCGTTGGACATTGTGTGTGTACAATGCAACGAAGGGCGTCGTCTTCGTCCAGTCGTTGGGTACGTCCGCTTCAAATAATTACCGTTCAACGGGCAGGGTAAGGGGGGGAGGAGACGGGCCCTGGCCGAACCATGCGGACCCGCGATGCGAGCGGTGAGTCCGTTGAACGCCAAGACGCGTGCGGGGGCAGATGATGATGCTGTTGCTGGCAGCTGGTACCGCGGCATTGGCATTGGCATTGACGATGGTGTTGGTTAAGGCCGTGGCTTCACCGAGCGTTGCATTTTAGACTTGAGGAGTACCCGCGCACTCCGATGCGGAGCTGCGACAGTGAGCCATCCTCTCTCTCCCCCTCTGCTCGCCAGCCTTCTCGGCGTTTGCTTGCCCGCTAGTTGCCAACCGTGTCTCGTCTCCTCTGCTCCGCTTTCCCAGCCTTCTCCGTTCCTCGCTTGCTATCGCCTCCTCCCTCGTTGCTCTTCGGCCTTCTTTCCTCCTCCCGTTCGCTTCCTCATTTCTTTCATGCCCTTCTCTCTCCGCTGCCATCATGGGGTTGATGTCCAGACGAGTGCTGCCCGTCTGTGGCAGCATGTGCGTTTGCTGCCCTGCCCTACGCGCTCGCTCTCGGCAACCTGTCAAGCGCTATAACATGCTTCTCGCTGACATTTATCCCAAAACCCAAGTAAGGTCGCCGTTGTGGAACTTGCAGTTTCTCCTCTTTCCGAATTCTTCACTCCCCTTATTCTTTGTCAACATTGGCTCTGACAACAGATTCCGTCGCTCATGAATTGTAGGTTGAAGTCCCTAATGATCGCAAGATTGGGAAGTTGGTGGATTATGCGGCCAAAAATCCGTTGCGGATTCCTAAGGTTTGTCGCGAACTCTGCCTTACATCCCTTGCCAGCTGATCACGCTCCCCTGGTTACAATCTGTACATTAATTTTCCCAATTGACCTTGCTGCCCTTCATAATCTCCGGAATTTATACCAATTAGATCTACATCAGCTTTCATAGTGGATTCCTGTCATTAGGGACGAGTTTCGATAGAATTAAAACGTCCACTTAATCGGAGCAGATCCGGAGTGAGTTCTGCGGAATTTTATGTTGATGTTTTTTCGCTTTTCGTTCTCACTGAGATCTGGATTTGATTGTTGATGATTACGATACGTTGCAGATTGCAAGTGCCCTTGAGCAGAGAGGCCTCAAAGAGCTGAAGAATGAGCACATCGGGACTGTCAGGGTTGTCATGCGCGCTTATTCGAAGCTTTTCATAGCCTGTAGGGATGAAATGTGAGTCGCAGTTCACAGACCGGTTTGGATGCTTTTGTATGTTTAGTCTTGAGTTCTGTGCGTAGCCTATCACACCATGCTCTGGGCACAGGTCCTGGCCTGGGCATCAACTTCAGACAGGAGGTGTATAATGCTTTCTTGGTGGCTTCTGCAATTGACTTCGCGTTCAGCTGTGATTCAACATTGGTCTTAGCGGACACGATGTACTGTCTGATCATCGCGCGCTAATTGAAATTGACGATGATGTTTCAGGTCGTTGTTTGCAAATAATGCCTTAAACATGATCAAGTCGCTTCTCGACCAACCTAAGCATGACAGCCTGCGCATCTTAGGCTGCATGATACTGGTGGATTTCATCCGGGTGCAGGTATGGTCGCCCTTGCCTTGCGAGAAGCTGCTGAGCTTCTTTGCTAGAATGTCCCGTCGTAGACTAGTTCTGTTTTTGGGTATGTAAGTTCGACGTCGCTGTGCATGCTTTTGCAGAACCTTTGACGGACTGAGGAAATCTTAGAGTTTGTTTGTGATTATATTGTTGCTGACTAGGCTCTCGACTTCGTCCTTACGTCACTGCTGTGGCTTAACAGACGGATGCCACATACATACGTAATTTGGATTCAATGGTTCCAGTACTCTGCGCATTAGCTCTTGAGCATGGAGATGAGAAAAAGCGGATGCCAATAAGGGCTGCTGCATTACAAGCCCTAGCGGCAATGGTATCCTATACTCGTCTTTCACGTAGCAAATTATATTTGTGGATAAATGACTTGTATCTCTGATCATTCATAGTTGAGCATTGAATCGATTATCATGTAGATACGACATAGTTTGTTTGCTTTGCAAGTACTCCAACTTCTTGTATAGGTTATTCTCACTCTTTTGAACTCTTCACTTTTGTAGGTAGGTTTTATGGGTCAACACTCGCACATTCCCCCGGAGTTTGATGAGGTACGTTTTCCTAGGAAATATCTTTTGAAATATTTTCGGTCTTCCGCTGTGTATTAAGCACTTCGCAAGTGTCTTACTCTTGTTCTCTTATTTGGTGTAGATTGTTTCTGTATCACTTGAGAATTATGAGCTCCCATCCGAAGAATTGGAAGCAATAGAGATTGAGAAAGGAGAAGCACAGCAACAGTGGATGAGGGAGACGATGAGATCAGAGAGTCATGCCCATGCACTTCATGTAATGAGGGAGAAATTGAACAAATTGCATCGGCATAAGGCACACGATATTATCATGGATCCTCTCAACTTGACTAGGTATTTTTGAGTCACCTCCCTACATGTTTGTACTACTAACACCGCTTGAGCACATGATCTCCCGATGGTCATGAGGGAGGTGATATACCGATTACTGTGCGTTGTTCTTATCAACCCGTGAATCAAGAAGCATGCGAAAATCTTTGTGCCTAGAGATATGTGGAACTTGTTTCAGAATGTGTGACGCTACGATTGTACTTGCGACATGCATAGGTTAGTAAATCTGGCGACTATTTTACTTCCCTAACATGTGCAATCTCACTATTATCGTGATTTTCATTCACTTACTTTTCTGTATCAGCGAGGAAGCAGACGCTCCTTCAGTGTGGTCCCAAATCTGTATCCAAAATATGGGAACACTTGCCAAAGAGGCAACAACTGTACGAAGGGTTTTGGATCCAATGTTCCGTTACTTCGACGCTAAGAAGCATTGGTCTCTGGAGAGGGGACTGGCCCTGGTAATTTTACAGAATATGCAATTTTTGATGGAACAGACAGGTGAATACTCTCCCTTGTCTAGATCCTATGATGCCCATGATCCTCTATATTCAATTCTCATTTTGATTACGTCTTTCCTCATCTAGTCCTTTTTTTAATAGACGCTGTTGTTAAATTTGTGTAGGGAATGGTCAATTACTGTTAGCAGCACTGGTTCGACATCTTGATCACAAAATTGTCGAAGAGAAGGTGGTTATGAAGAGAAATATCGTGGCTCTTACTGCTGTTTTAGCGCGCCAATCGAAGACAAAGGCCACAGTTGCTGAGGTGGGTGCCATGAGCGACCTGTCAAGACATCTACGAATGAGTTTGCAGATGTCCATGCAATCTTCAGTGCCGGGCAGTGTTTTTGATGAAAATATTTCATTACAAGCGGCCATAGAAGAGTGCCTGATGGAGTTCGGACGGAGGGTAAGTTTCTAGCTTTGAATCTATTCCTGGTGACACATTTGTTATTGTGTAAACGTCTCCGAAAATGTTCCTGCTGGAGTGGTTAAGTACTACAATGGGAGTTCGTCTCGATTATGTAGTAATTGCGGATTCTTACTTTTAACTTTGCTGTGACATACTTTCTTAAAGGTCGGAGATGCGGGGCCTCTTCTTGACATGATGGCTGCCACTCTGGAGAAACTATCAACCAAGGCCATTGTTTCCAGAAGTACAATACAGGCAGTCTCTGTGCTAGCCCTAGCTGTCGCTTACCTTCCCGACCACTTGTATGCGCATCAGGTGAAGTTAATCACATCACTAGTCATTTCACCTAGAGTCATAAACTTGCTGCCTTTCGCGTGGTTGGTTTATTCTCTCCATTATTTATCATTCAAACCTAATTACTTTGAACAGTTCATAATTTGTTTTTTCAAAGGATCTATCGAGTTTCAATTGTCACACATTTCGACAGCATCTTCATTTTTCAGGAACTTAATGCCACGAATATAAGCCACTGTGTGCACTGACACGTTGATTTCTTCAAGTGCAGGAGTTTCCAGAATCCCTATTTAACGAGCTTCTACAGGCAATGTTGCATCCTGATCTGGAAACTCGCGTTGGAGCGCATCGGATATTTGTGTTACTCCTGGTCCCATCTGCTGCATCCCAATCTTCTCGTTATGAACAGCAGTTCCTCCCTCGCACTGATATATCATCGCCTAGCCGAAGTAAGAAGAGGGTGTCTGCTTTCTCTTCAGCTGCTGCTTTGTTCGAAAGGCTGAGAAAAGACAGAAGCTTCGGTGGTAGTTTCCTAGATAGTGACGATGAGGATGGAAAGTTAAAAAGCAAGACCAACAGTATGGGCAGGGCGGTAGGTAAAACAGACAGCATGGGCAAATCTGATTGGCAATTCGAAGGACGTTCTGATAGCTTTGGTCGCGATGAAGTTCGATCTGGGAGAGAGGAAATCTCCAATGGAGCTGCCAGCCCCAGCCGACTTCAAGCCTTTAGACTCAGCTTGGGTCGTTCTATGGCACATTTGCGAAAGCCTTCTACGGGCAACAGCAAAGAGACTGTAAATGACCGACCCTTATTCTAGACGGGTTTTTGCCTGGTTATGACCATGACTATTTCGGATTCAAATCACTCACTTGGAGCTTCGTGTAATTCCTTTGTTCTGTGATGTCTTTCTGATATCTTTCAGGAGATGGCTACAGCAAGGTTAAGTGGAAATCAAGTGCAGCTTATATTTTCGACTCTTTGGTTGCAAGCAAAGTTGGCAGACAATTGGCCCTCCAGCTACGAGGCTATGGCACACACCTACAGTCTTGCCCTTCTTTTCTCAAGGCCAATGGTATATTTTTTCATTCACTTGTCATTTGAGTTGTTATTTGAGTTATTTGCAATGTTAACTCATTAAATTGTCATTTTATAACATTCATATTCATTTGGTGGATACTGAGCAGAGTTCCAGTCACAACACCCAATTACAAGCAATACAGTTGGCCCTTAGCATCAGGGACCTTGCACTCCATTCAACTGGTACGTTGTTAGCGAGAAGTGGTGGACCACTACGGAGTCCATCTAAAGATTTTGCAACCTGTGGAGTCTGCTAGTAATCTGTCCATATTCTCGGACTGATCCTGGTCTTGATGAATGTTCACAAGGCCATGAGAACGACGTGAGCACATGGATTTACTAATTTTGGCTTGTCTCCGGGCCTTGCAGGTGATTCCCTCTCCCCGGCAAGAAAAAGATCCTTGTTCACACTAGCTACCGGAATGCTTGTGTTTGCAGCGAAGACTTACAATATACCTCAGATAGTTGCCCCTGTCAAAGTTCCCCTTACATCACTTGTGGTGAGCTTGCTCTCGTGTTTGTATCACTTGATGTCAAAAACCTCTAGATTTGACCTGTTTTGAAACCGTTTGATGGGTGTTTTCTTTATTTGGTATTATTCGTCGTCAGTAACATCAGACTATAGTGATGTCTTCATGTTGTCATATGATGTAAGATCCTCGTTTGATTTTCTTTTCCATGTTCTTGTCTGCATTTCGATACCTTAAATGGTTTTAAGATTACCTGAATATTGGGTTGAAACAGAAAGATCCATTTTTGGACCTGAGCGAGGATAGTACTTTGACAGCAGCTAGCTCAGCTATGCATGCCCATGGATATGCAACGGAGGCAGACGATGATGCCGCTTTGAATTCGTTAAATCTCATTTCTCTTGTTGGTGATTTATCGAACGAGGCACTTGTTGCACGAATTGTCGAGGCTTCTCATTCCTCACCTGAGGTGTACTTCAGTTTTTAACCTCAGTCATTATAAACGCATAATTGTATTTTAGACATGAATTTGATTAATTTCTGTCTTGTGGATCATCAAATGCAGTCTTCGTAGCTTCGAGTTGGAAGTGGCACAAAAGGCTCATTGCTCTAGCCCTCTGGGTAACATTATTCACTACCTACTAGTGCAGTTGTAGACCTTAGCGGCTGATCAATTTTCCTCGGTGCCATTGTAGGTTGACGGTGCGGATCTGAAGGAAAGGTTGACAGAACAGTTTGTACCGGCTGATAACGAAATCCTCAGGTCTCGGTTGTACTCGGAATCCGTGAATGCGCGATCTGCCCATGCCTCCCAAGATTCCATGTCTTTTGATGAGGTATAGTGACGTTGACTGCTTATTTGGTTTGCGCTTCTATATCAAGTACTGATGCCTGTTATTTCAGTACGGTGATGATAATGTCCAAGTCAAATCCATTGACTGATTGTTTTTATTGTTCATTGTTTGGAAATTGCAGACACTACTATCAAATGCAGTTTTAGAGGATGAAAGCACCAGTGGAACAGGTTCAGAGCTACCACCTATGCTAAGGGATACTGCCAGCAGCGCGCCTGCCCAAGCACCTGGCGTGTCGCAGCTTCTGGATTTGGTAATTGCGTTTACTTGCCTTAGCTTCTAAAGAAGCTGCGTTAAAAAGTAGTTGTGATTTGAGTTTTCGTTTTGGTTATCTCGTCCCGGATACTAACATGTAGGTCATGAACACCCATGTATATCAATGCAGGCAAATGAAACAGCTGGACAAGCTGGACTTACTCATGCTCCGAGCGGTCCTCTGTCGTATTCTGATACTGCAAACCAGTGTGAAAAGTTTGGAGTGGGTGCTCACAAGAAGATGTCTGCTGTTCTAAAGATGGACAGCCATGGCAATGCCCCTTCTACAAATGCACATCCCAACACTAAGGATTCCTACAGGACGAATGGCTTAGAAAGCACCGAGGTCTTCCCTGTCCCAAGCGGCTTTTTTTCTTTTTCTTTTTCTTCAATTCACACGTCTTCGATGCATCCTAGTGTATCTCACACGTAGTGCTCGATTATGAAACTTGTTGATGTCATCTAAAATGCCCCAGTCAGGTACCTGGCCTATTTCCAGGATTGTTCGTCGTACTGAAATTTTATGACCTCCCTTCTCTGTAGTCGTTGATAGGTGCTTTGACCTGTTTTTATTATAGCAATGTTATTCCTGACGGTCCTTCGAAGTGTCGTCAAATTTAACATGATTAAGCTTACATCCGCCGTTTTGTCGACAGTTGGACAAAATTGATGAACATCAGGAAGCACGACACGCAAGTAATTCCAAAAGTCAAAGTCCCGAATCGAAACCCACATGGTTGGCGTCACCGAATGTCGAAGACCTAAAATTACCCCCGTCAAGTCCATATGACAATTTCCTAAAAGCAGCTGGATGTTAATAACTGTGCTCATTGTCTTGCGAAGTATTTGCCGCTCCTTTTATGTGAAGTAAATATTGTCATCCAGATTGGTCTTAGGGTAGTTATTAATTTAGGTATCTGATAGAGGTTTTCCTGAACGCTGAATCGTTCTTGTCTGCAGCCGTGAAATCCTGAATGGCAGCTCCATTATATGCATTGTTAGCGGCAAGTGCATTCAATTCGCAAGCCGTCCAATGCACATCTCGATTCTGGCGTTGTTGAGGTTATAATACTAGATAGGAATTCTAAATATACCGATTTACGAAGTTTGAAATTCTTTCGGGGAGAAGCTCACTTTGGGGTTGTACCCTGCTTCTACCTCCACTTCCATTATGTGTTTGTGGTTATCCTTTGTAATGACAAACATAATGTAGAAGTTGTAAATACAAACAAGACACTTAGCAAGCTGCAAGTGAGGTGTGACATGACCTTGTGCAAGGTGTGGTTTCTTACACTAGGTCTAATTTTTTTGTGTTGTATCATTGTGATGTACTTCCTTCCAAACATAGCAAGTTAGGAAAAGATCTTGAAGGAGACAATCTTGATGAAAGATAGTTGTCCGTCAATTTCTCTTCTATCACACCAATGTTGCCCAGAACAGTCCATTGCTCAGCTCACGTGCGTTGCGAGCCTTCCAGCTCTCCCATGCAACTAACAAACTTTTGCTACTGCCACCATCATTGTTAGAGTAGTCTCTAAAGTCGAACTGGAATTCCAGTTTCGATGACCATGAAACTCAAGTAACCCATGTGTCTTGCGATATCCACATGTGTCTTTCTCGCCCGCTTTGCATCCTCGTACCACAATCCCCTGACTTATCTACCATGCCACTGGCTTGCATGAACTTAGCACTCATGTTTTGAAACCCACACTATCAATTAACTTCAAGTTGTTTTTGTCTCTCTCAACACTCTATCACTATACTACTCCGATGTAAAGTCGTAAGTCACAACAGAAATTTTGCAATGGCTCTGGCGGCGTCCAGTTTGTGGGGTGTCCAAATTGTGTAAAAAAGTGCCACCCTAAAATCTACGTGGAATGTGATTTCGACCCCAAATTCACCTAAAACATGAGTATCTCCTGATGAATTTCCGTTTGATAATTGACTGAGCAATGGACTGAGCTCAGTCAATTATCACAAAAATGACGGGTAGATTTACTATTATTAAGAATACAAGGGTATTTTTGAAATTTCAACATATTTCAGGATATATATGATATTTTCCCTTTGTTCTATTAAAAAAGTTTGAAATGAGGAATTATTCATGAGCATAACACAATCAACTCTAACATTTATTTACTAACAAATGGAATACTAGCAACATCTCTTCAGAATTTAGTTAATTTACACCTAAAAAGAGATATGATATTATATTCCCGTATTAGGCTTTTCTATTCATAGAAATTTCAGTCATTTAAACTACTTAAATGAATGCCTTGAAATCTATCAGTTACTTAAATGAACATTGGTGTATACAGTAGAGTTGTTAATTGAAAGAGTAAGTTATGGACATTCAATGAAAGAACACATATACTTTAAAAACTTAAACTGAAAATAATGTCACCTAGACTACTAGAAATGTAACACTTGAAAAATATTATGGTATGATATACCAAATTTGATGATAAACTTTCAAGAACACTAAAAATGATAGCAGATTTGACCTTATAACATTTTGGAATCGTAAAACTAAACTACAGTTACCTAAATTCTTATTCCAAACAAGCTATTCCTCCACACCGACTATCAACAATTCATACGAACACCAACAGGAGTACGAATCAACATATACAATAAATCAGAAGCAGAACGTAAACCAAAAGTTGAGAACTATAACCAACTTCAAGCCAACTCCCCAAAGATATCTCCTGATGAATTTCCGTTTGAGCGAACCCAAACCAAATGCTAAGTGAATAGTACAGCAATTCCAGAAATGCTAATGACTGGTTAAAACAACGTTGCATCCATCCCCTCTCTCTCAGTCTCTACAAGAGGTTACCAGATTTTAATGGTATCCGATACTAACACTCCCCGGCTGAATAGAAGGTATTGGATTAACATCACAAGCACCAATAGTAGGTGCCCGCCAGGCATCGGACGGTCTATTGATCCGACTGCCGTGGATGGTCGGTGTAGATCCATCCAGAATCATCAGCGGTTTCATCATAGTTTGAATCACTTGGCGGCGATGGAGGTGGTGAGGTGACACTTTCTTGACTGGACCTGCTTCCGACAGGATTGGATCCACCTTCAATAGCTCTTGCCGATTGCAGAGCATCCTGAGCAGCTTGATATACTGTACACACATGATAATACTTAATTACTGAATGCTTTATATCCAACTTGAAACACACTGACACGGAGAAGACACTGATAGACGGAATATATACACGGTTGAACATGAATCAAATGAACTTGCCTAGGACGGAGAATTTCTTGAGCATCCGCTGCACTGCCTGCACTTCACTTTGATGATTCATAACGAACTTATGCTGCAAAACTCATATGACCAAATTGTTAATATCTTCGCACTATATAATCAATGAGTTCACCACACCCTAGAAACCAGGCAATTAAATGTTGTGCATATATATATATATATGTGTGTGTGTGTGTAGAGAGAGAGAGATGTGAGAGTGGGTGTATGTGAGTAAGTGAGAAAACCATTTATGAATCCTGAAAAACACAAGGCTAATCTCAAGATTAAAATTAGCTGAAAAGAAACAGCTGGCAAATCAATATGTCGCACCATCTCATTTCGAGTGCCATCCACAATGCGATCAAGTCTCGCATGATGCTTCAGCAGCAATGGACGTAGGAGACTAGTGTATAAATGTCGAGCTCCCTGGAGCAAAAGAAAATGAGGTTGAGTATTATTCCGTGCTCAAGGGCAGAGGTGACGAAGTCTAAGAGATGTAAAACGAGTATATTAAACATCAGTTCAGCACAAATTTGTTTCCAGGCTAGTAACTAAACAAACAGCCAAGCAAAAGATATAATTGAAACTAAAATATGAGACCTCCTGTAAATGTTCCTCAAAGACTCAACATCGTGAAGGAAATGGATTATTAGCAAAAAAATTACATTTCCTGCGAATGATGGGCACTATAGAATCCAAAAACTTGAAGATGGTGATAACGCTAACAAAGAATGTTGAGTAAAAGAGGTAAAAAAAACATACATAATTTTTGGGAAGTTGCAGCCACACTAGAAACACGAACTTAGCATGATAGTAGAATGGACACCTGCAGACCCACCAGAAAAACGCATTACAGTTTTGCGCTCACTCGTCGGCATTGCGGATTTTATGTACTTGTCCAGTTTACCCCTGAAAAGGCCATATAATGTATAAAATCTATGCTGGAATTTATACTGCAATATATGAACGTAAAATGTAAAAAATATAAAAACTTACCAAGACAAAAGCTTGTCAGAGAAAACTTCCGCGACACTGAAACAACCATAGGCTACATACGCCAAAATAAACACCGGCGTCAAAGCATGTACTTCAGTTTTACTAATTTACAGGTGCAACTTATCACAGAGTTGCTTACTAAAAACTTTAACCCATTTTCATCAACTATGCCTCATACATGAGAACTGCAGCTTGCCTTCTAAGCCATGCTAGCTAAATTAAATCGTGTATCCTGTCATCAAAAGGAGGTTCATAACATAAGAACAATGCCGATCTGGTCACACAGAACACCAGTTTTCAGAAAGGACGTCCTTGATCGCCAGGAATTTCACGTCGAACCCGCATAACAGAGTAAATTAACAGGAACCCGAAACATGAAGGGTTAGTTGAAAACAAGTGTTTCCTTAACATTAGCAAAAGAATGTAGATCCCATTTCCAACTCCGGGTTTCGAGGAAACCGTCATGCATGTACCTGCCCAATAGACAAGCCACTCTTCTTGCTCGGAATGATTCCGGTTCTCGATTGCCTTGTGAGTAGAGTAGATAGGAAATCCGATACCAACCACGGTACTACACAAAGCAGAACAACAACAAAAAGCGTCAAAAAACGGTGCGTGAAAACCGCGGAATCAGGCGCTACGGTGAATTCCTGAACAAACCAAAACCACAACGCACAGCGCGAGCCCTCCAAAATTTAAGCATATGCCTGAACAGCAATTTTAACCATCACGTCCTCATGCAACAAGCCATGGCCATCCGCAAGGACATTCGAGATTGAACATGAGAAGAGGGACAAGAACGTACCAGGCAGTGCGCACAATGACGTGAGAAGCAGTAGGCGTAAGCAGCAACCGCAACCCAAGCTGCTCAATCCAAAAAAAAGCAGACAATCAAGCCACGAAATCGGGAGGCAGAGAGGCAAGCGCAGTAGGGGTGCAGAAGGGGAGAAGAGACACACCTCACCGCCTAAGGCGGAGACAGCAGCGGCCATGGCAGCGGAAGGAGCATAAGCGAAGGAATGGACGCAAGAGGGAAGGAGAAGGAGGAAGAGGAGTAGGGAGCACGATGCTTATGCGAGAGGGCGGTGAAACCCTAGCACAACGAGCAGCAACGAAGGATCACAAAGCTTCGGGCAGCAAATTCACACTATCGCACTCATACTCCCACACTCACTGCCTGTCCTGTCCCTTCTCGTCACTGCCCTTCCCTTCCCTTCCAGCAGTGGAAGTAGCAGCAGCATGGCCTGTGCCTCTCTACAGTCGTTGTCTGCACTCTCCCCCTCCCTCGTCGGTCTTTTTTCGTTCGTCCATCGTTCGTCGCCCCCTCCCTCTCTCTCGTCTTGTCTACTCACCCTTCGTCATGCATCATTCTTTCGTCCCTTTCCCTTTGGCCACCTCATACCCCCCCTCTTGGCCACGTCAGATTTGTTCCGTGATAGTTTCCGCGAGGGTACCGAATCCTACTGGTTGTATCTGCTTGGATGAATTCTGTTTCTTCTTTTTTGTTTGATGATATTTGTTAATGTGTTGTCTCTTGAATTGTTCAATATAATACCACTACACAAGCCCTGCATGGCCATTGCCTACCATTGAGGTTTTGTGACACTTGACAATGTTCTCACGTTTTTAGCACAAAAATTTATGTGCTAAGAGGGAAAAAACATGTATTTGCTTAAATTTATATTATTAGAACATACCTATCAAAAATAAATTCTTATATCCAATACTATTTTTGTTTAAGCATAAAATTAAATTTATTAATTTGTGGATTTATTACCAAATTTCATGAAAAATTATGATATATACATATATATATATATATATATATATATAGTATATAATGATATATCATAAATAAAAACTGATAATGATAGAAATAATTTTAAAAATAGGATAAGCAATGCAATACCTATCTATCTATCTATCTATATATAAAATTTAAGGGTCAAAATATAATTAATGATTAATCTAACATTTAGTAAATCAATAAGGTTATAACCACAAATATTTCTCTAAAATGTGTGGTAACCTATAAGTATTAATAAAATTTTATTATATCATATAAATAAAAATAAAAATTGCTCATCAAGAAATTGTTGAATAGATATGAATATTCTTTAAAAAGAATGGTTTGATTCTTTTTCTAATATGCACCATGTATTAATGAATGATTAGTCTTATCATCTAGATTAAAATTGGAAAACCGAATAAATTAATTTAAATAAAATTATAAAAATAAAGTATTTATTATTATTATTATTATCATTATCAATGTATCAAAAAAAAATAAAAAATAGTATACATATTCAATTACATAAATATATGATATCTATACAAGTACTTCAAATCCATGGTTGGTATAGCAATGCACTATGCTAATATGGATTAAGGAATCAATTTAAAAAAATTAAAAGTTGTATATATGATTTTATCTTGGTATTTATTTATTTATTTATTTATTTATTTATTTATTTTTTTGACACATAATAAATTTATATTTCTATTAAAAAGTAGACCATAGCCTTGTGTTATAAGAGCCCAAATCTATTATAAATTCTTATATTTTAATTCACTTATATTCTCTTTGATTATAAGATAAATTTATTTTCATTAAAATAAGAAACTAGAATGGTTATTGCTAAAGACATGAAAACTAGAGATACTTGAGAGTAGACTATAAACAAGAAAAATGTTGACAAGACTAAAGAAGGTCTCATTCTTGCCTCCATATGTACTATCTAATTAAAAAATTATATGGCAATATTCTATAGGTCATTCAATACATATCCAACTACTAAGACATATGTTTAATATGCAAGGTAAGTTACCAATATGTGCACCACATGACCAACTTGTACCACAAGAGGTGAACATAAATAGAATGTAGTCAACTTATAAAATAAGTGGTCAATATATGCAATACAAGGCCAACTTGTTGGCCAAGTTTTTAACCTACAAATCATCTACAAATACTTATAAAGTCAAATTTAGGTCTATAGAGCTTTTAAGAAGCTTTTTACTAAGATATCATCAAATTAAGATATTTTTATGTAATCCTATCTAATTCTTTTTATCTTCTTCATTACTAATGCCAATATTGATGTTTGTGATATTATTTTTTTTTAAAGATAAATTCTACAAAGAATAATGATTAAATATTGATAAAGTCTTAGATGTAAAAAATTATATTTATTGCATATTTTAAAACAAATTATATTATAATATTTCTTTGAAGGTAGTTGATAGGTCTTTTCAAATATATATAATATCTCATATTGAGTTAGAAAGACTAATGTATTATTTGATCATTGTTAAGACCTTTGTAATTTTTTTAAAAAAAAACATTAAAAATACTATTAATAATGGTTTTTTTAAAAATATTTCTATTAATATTACCAAATATAATAAGTCTTTTTCAAGATTTTCATACCAAATGGATTTTATTTCACCATCTATTAAAAAAACATGTTTTTGAAGGTCTTTACTTCTCTTATATTATTGTAAAGATTGTGAAAATTTAAATGATTTTTTTAATAACTTAACAAATTTTCTATCAATTTGAGGATAAAAGTTTTAAGATAGTTCTATACTTGCCTTCAATATTTTAAAAACAATTCTCCAAAACTTAGATACAATTTGAATCCCTCTACTTAAAATAATATCTTTTAGTAATCTATAATAGTAATAGATGTTATAAAAAAGAAAATTTAATTGTTTATATATTAATAATAATATTTATATATAATTTAAAATATATTAATCTATTCTACAAATATAGAATCATAAGAGCTTATAATAAAATATTTATGAATTAAATTTATAAAAATAAAATAGCATAATTGTGTTGATATTATAAGGAATAAGAAGTTAAAAAATATAAATAAATAAGTGAATTATTTTTTAATAAAAGAAAAAAATGTATGAATATATATATATATATATATTCAAAAAGAAATTAGAATGGATATTGATAAAAGACAAAAAAAATTAGAAAATCTTGAAATTGAATTAGAAATAAAAAAAGAGTTGATAAGAATAAAGATGGCTTTATTATTACCTTTGTATATACTATCTAACTACAAGTTATGTGGTTGCATTCTATAAGACCTCTAATACATGTCTAACTTGTAAGATAATTATTTAATTTGTACAACAAGCTTCTTACATGTGCACCACATGTCCAACTTGTATTATAAGTGTTCAACATGTATTTTTAAGAATATAAATATCAAAGAATCAAAAATTCAATACACTTTTATGTAAATAAAAAACAAGAGATATTCATTCAAAATTAATATAGTATTAAAATTAGAATAATTAATACTAAAGACAAAAAAATTAAAAAGACTTGAAATAAGACTAAGCACTACAAAGGCATTGATAAGAATGAAGAAGGCTTCACTCTTATTTTGTCATGGACATACTCATGTAAGCTAGTAATTACATATACAAATAGGTGGAAGTAAGTAAAAGTAGATAAAAATAAGTTAATTCTATAGTATTTAGATGGAAGCTTCCTAGAAGCTTCATAGATGCTGCTTTGACTTCATAGGTGTCTTTAATTGACTTTTTGGATTAGAAACGTGGTCAACAAGTTGGCCATGTGCCACATATGTTGTTAGCTTGAAGATCAAGCTAACTATATGGCCCATACATAGAAAAACTTGCCTTGTAAGACAAGGCATGTGTCCTACAAATTCAATACATATTGGAGGTCCTATAGAACGTCACCATGTAGTTCTTAGTTAGATAGTATATATAGAGACAAGAGTGAAGTCTTCTTCACTCTTGTCAACTCTTTTTTTGCTTCCAATCTAGTTTCAAGGGTCTGTAGTTTTTTTGTCTTTTGGCAATAGCCATTCAAGTTTCTCTTTCAATATGCATATTTATTTATTTATATTTTGTTACATTTCTTTGAGTGAAGGCTCACTTATCTGAATTGCTTTTTCATCGAGTTCTTGTCTTTGACAGATTGACAAGAATACACCTACAATATCAGAGCTTTGTCTAATCTTGATTAAGAGTGGATTACCCCTTTTTCTTGATAAGATATAAGCATATTAGAAGTTACGGATTATCCTCTTCTAAACTGATATTTTTCTTAGTATTTTCTTTATTCTCAAGTCCTCTCTTCTATTTGTCTTGAGTGATATTAGACATCTTCTCTTTCCTAAGTGTTATCATGGCAGAACTTGTTTAAATGAAGAGTGCAATGGCACAAATGCAAGAGCAATTGAGGGAGTTAATGCTTGCGATGCATCAACTCAATTTACTACTACAAGGAGCAACAAGATTGGTGGGAAGTGAAGATATAGAAATGGTTGGAATTGCTTCAACATGTGCACCAAACCATGTCCTTTTTCATATGGTGGAACACCCTTCCAGTGTTAGAGAACCAAGAATTGTCCTACCAGAGAAGTTTGATGGCACCAAATCCAAGTTTCGAGGATTTATCAATCAAGTACAACTTGTGATTGAACTTCAACCCCAAAGCTATCCAACTCCAGGATCGTAAGTTAGATTCATTGGTATGCTTCTTTCAAGTTCAGCACTATCATGATTTTCATCTTTTCTTGAATGACGAGATCCAATATTAGATAATCTAGAGGCTTTTCTGGCGGAGTTTCAATCTATGTATGGAGAACATGATGCAATTCATGTTACAACTAATAAGATCCGTATTTTATGACAAAACAATTAATCAATAACGTTATATGCTTCACAATTTTGACAACTTGCAACTGATATCAAGTGGGATGATGCTGCACTTATTAGCCAATTTCTCTAAGGATTACAATATGAGGTAAAAAAAATGAATGCTCAACTTACCTGATCCTCAAACATTGAGTCAAGCAATTGACTTTGTTGTGAAGTGCGACAATCGCCTTTTTGAATTTTGATCTGAGAACCATACAAGTAAACTTCAATATGACTATAATTTGATGGCAACACCAATACCTCTTCAACACATACATTGGGAAGTAGAGGATATGCAAATTGATGCAGTACGTTTCAAACTTCTTATTGAATAAGAAAAGATTCATCGTCGTCAAGAAGGATTATGTTTATATTGTGGAAAACCAAATCACACTGCTCAACATTGTCCAAAAAAATGACGCAATCACAAAATGAAGAGTTTGGCTATGAAAGAAGAAAATATGTTAAAAAACGAGTTTGTCCAGCTACAATAGGGATCGTGCGGTTGGAACCTTGCACAACATCTAGTAAAGGTCC